AAAAAAAGAACTATGTGGTTTATTGGTGTTGAAGTAGAGCAAGAGACGAGTGCACCCCCTCCTAAAAAAAATCCTGGATCCGCCCCTGGCACATGGTACTTTAGTTCTAGTTTTCGGTTAACTGATTCAAAATAGCAACGGAACAATTAAATCACGACCAACTGAATAAATCAAAGGTAGACCGCACAGTAACGATTTGCAATCTCCTTTTTAAAAAGAACAATCTGAAACATCGGGTGACTCTATTAGCCTCTATTTTTGAATGTGATGATAATATTTCATGTTTTCCATCAACAGTGTAAGAAGCATCAACGATAAAAGATCCATTTATTTCTTAAGAATTATGCAATCACCGTTTCACAAGATAAAGGAAGAAATATTTGATATGAAAAAATCGATCAAAGCAAATTATTACCTCAGAGTAGTAAAATATGAACCTGACCAGAAATGTTCGCCAGAGGTAGCGTCCACAGATTGATACTGAAAAATAAATAAAATTTCGGTTAAATAAATTATTCCCATACATAATATTTTTTCTCGAAGCTAAGAACGCACAAAATTCTAAAATACGTAATTTCACTTGAATTCTCACCTCCAGTACGTTTCCTTTAGGTAAATTTTTGAGAAAAAACACTTGGACATCTAATATAACGTTCGGCCACTTGATGCTTTGCTTGCACGCAACGATGGAGAAATGAGAGATTATAGCAAAACAAGGGGATTAAACATGAAGACCTCAGTGGTTAATTAATGTAATTTCTTTTTAATTACTTAAACTATGCACAAATTATTCGAATAAGAAGGCAACAATAACGGATACTTCCTCATTACGTGCATCATTTTTTTTGTTTTTTTTTCGCTTTTCTTCATTTCGGATTTTAGGGACTAATTAGTACATTTGTTTTAAAACTGGCCTCTATGTTATCTGAAGAATGCAAGAACAGCATCGTTTGCTTTCGCTCCAAAATTGAAATAAACCCGAGAGGTTTATGCCACTGATTACTTAAGTCAGTAATTGTTTTTCTCCACTCTCCATTCAAAATAAGCTAATTAACTATGAATTAACAAATTAGCACTAATTTGATACTTACTTAACATTTCTCAAAAGGCTTAGAATGTTTGTTTCAAAGCAAGCTAATGACCTTTCAACTCAAAAAGTAATTATGCTAATCAAAGGGATTAAAAAATGACATTCAGTTGCGTCACTGGGTCACGTGTCCATGACAGAGAATGTTCTCCTTTGTCCTCGTTAACCTTCAGTTGGCCTCATTATTTCGCACAGCTGATACATTTGGGGAGAGCACCCTCCTGCGCAGGTAACACTGTCCTATTTTAGAGAACGGGTGGGAGAAAGGGGAAAACCTCCTTTTCCTTTTCGATTGTCATCAGAACGGATACCTTAAAATCAGGTTAGACACCTCATGTTTATTACACAACACTAAATCCTCGTAGAGAACCATTTATGCCAATTTATTGTGCAGATTTTTGGGCAAAGTGGGGATATCAGAGTAAGAAACAGTTGTGCCAGGAAAACTGTTCAATACAGGGTTTAGCACTAAAGTACAGTGATTAGGAAAAAAGTTTAGCTTTCAACTGTCTCCTGTTTCCCCTTCCCCACCCCCGAACAAAGTTCAAACACTTTAAAAGACTTTTTCAAAGTTTTTGGCCTGTAACAGCCAGCACTGTCCGGGGGGGGGGGCGGGGCTGAGAGGGATTGTTGGAAAATGCACATATCATTTGTAAATGATGAAGTGTCCCAAACGTTTTGACCAGGATTATAGGTCCGAGCGAATTTTTGAGTGTCTCGGGATAAGTGACCGAAATGCATCGACCGTGAATGCCTGGGGAGACGCCGTACACGGACTGGGCAAGGTAGTGGCCGCAAGGTCTGTGTACGGAGAAGGTGATTCTGACCGTTGTGGTTTTTTACTTCCTTTAATTTCAGTGTACAGGAATGATTTTTCTATGCATACGCTCGCTAGGTTTCACAGCATAAAAACTTAACACAAGGAGGTTGTTGTTATCCTTTTTGTTTCAGTGAAATAAAACAAACAAAGAAAAAAAACGCACTAAAAAACCCCGATTCTTCATAGATTGCCATCGACACAATTTCCTTGGATTTTACACACAGAAATTACAATTTTTCCCCTAACGTCAATGTTATTTTCGGTCACTATTAGAAGTGAAGATGTAATACCGAAGATGCAGGAAACTACTGTTTTTTTTACTGTTATAAGTTAAGCGTACGAACCCCCCTGTCTTTTTCAATGAGGGATTGTCTTTCGTATTCATGGTCAACTGTTCAGGCAAGATCACAGCCAATTTAACTCAAAACAGGAGAAAGATCGAGAGAGAATGGGCTTTCGAGTCACACCTGAGTTAAAGGAAGAACTGTAGATTAAAAACTGAAAAAGAGAGTTGCAAACACACACACATTGTTCGGAGCAATATTTATTTTATTGGAACAAGTTTAATTCTCCCGCCGTCCAACTCTACAGCC